CATAAGATACTTGATGAATGGGATGATAATTGATAAGTTTACAGTTTGCAGTAGGCAAATTCGCGAAATGGATGACGGTGTGACGAGTTTGACGGGTACTGACGGTGTGACGAGTTTGACGGGTTGACGGTTTGTGAAAACAAATTGTTGGTGTAAATTAAGTTTTGATGGTTCAGTGTGGTGTATAGGGGTCATTATAACATATTTGACGAGTTTTTGTTAACCGTAACTCATGCGGGAAAAAACTATTTCCTACCCTAAGCCAATGTGTTAGGAGAACGCTATTAGAACTTTAGGGTTTCTTTGGGAGAACATGCATTGTGATAAACAAAAATGTCTTAAAATTTGAGAGATAGATTTAGATTCAGCATAAGATATTTGATGAATGGGATGATAATTGATAAGTTTACAGTTTGCAGTAGGCAAATTCGCGAAAATCGATAAGGTGTGACGAGTTTGACGGGTACTGACGGTGTGACGAGTTTGACGGGTTGACGGTTTGTGAAAACAAATCGTTGGTGTAAATTAAGTTTTGATGGTTCAGTGTGGTGTATAGGGGTCATTATAACATATTTAACGAGTTTTTGTTAACCGTAACTCATGCGGGAAAAAACTATTTCCTACCCTAAGCCAATGTGTTAGGGGAACACTATTAGAACTTTAGGGTTTCTTTGGGAGAACATGCATTGTGAGAAACAAAAAGGTCTTAAAATTTGAGAGCTAGATTTAGATTCAACATAAGATACTTATTGAATGGGATGATAATTGATAAGTTTACAGTTTGCAGTAGGCAAATTCGCGAAAATCGATAAGGTGTGACGAGTTTGACGGGTACTGACGGTGTGACGAGTTTGACGGGTTGACGGTTTGTGAAAACAAATCGTTGGTGTAAATTAAGTTTTGATGGTTCAGTGTGGTGTATAGGGGTCATTATAACATATTTAACGAGTTTTTGTTAACCGTAACTCATGCGGGAAAAAACTATTTCCTACCCTAAGCCAATGTGTTAGGAGAACACTATTAGAACTTTAGGGTTTCTTTGGTAGAACATGCATTGTGAGAAACAAAAAGGTCTTAAAATTTGAGAGCTAGATTTAGATTCAGCATAAGATACTTATTGAATGGGATGATAATTGATAAGTTTACAGTTTGCAGTAGGCAAATTCGCGAAAATCGATAAGGTGTGACGAGTTTGACGGGTACTGACGGTGTAACGAGTTTGACGGGTTGACCGTTTGTGAAAACAAATCGTTGGTGTAAATTAAGTTTTGATGGTTCAATGTAGTGTATAGGGGTCATTATAACATATTTAACGAGTTTTTGTTAACCGTAACTCATGCGGGAAAAAACTATTTCCTACCCTAAGCCAATGTGTTAGAAGACGAGTTTGACGGGTACTGAAGAGTTTGGCGGGTTTGACAAGGCATGAAGATTTTACCCGATAAAATATATATGATTAAAAGGATGTTTGGAGAGTACACATGATTCAAATACAACTAATTAAAAAGAGGATAATGGATTCATGAAGAAGAATCTTGATGTTCCTCTGGAGGTACCGTTACTTCTTGGCGTTCCCCATGGATTCCCTTTCTTCCCTTTCGACCTTTGGTTTATCTCTTTGTTCGTTGCTTTTTGGAAAGTGGATCTGTCGATCCAAAGGCAATGTATGAACTTTTAACATCCTTTTTTCTTTTTTCGCATCGGTCGTTTACTCTGTTGAACCGACTCCTTAGGAGTAGCAGGAACCTCCCCATGCATTGAAAAAGCCACATTCTCTTCTAAAAAACGAGGTCTCAACTCGAGCTCGGTGTTTGTGTTATAGTAACTACCCGTTGAAATATCATCCTCTTTGTTGCGCTTTATCTCAGACCAATCTTTTGCTTCAACGGTGATTCATGTCTTCTTCAGAACCCTTTCAATTTTTTCAATTATTCTTCTTTCGATTTTTCAGTTAACCGAATGGTTTCATATGGTTAACACTTCATTGTAATCTTGGGAGCCTGATGAATGTCTTTCAAATCATATACAAAAGGAACCTGGAAAAATAAAATTAACACTCATTATCAGTTTTGTTTGACCGGTGTGACCAGTTTGACCAGTTTTATCATATTAGTCAAACTCGTCAAACTGGTCACACCTTTCAAATGCAATCAGTGTGACTAGTATGACCATTTTGTATGCGGCTAGTGTGACCAGTATGACAACATTACTTCATCATTAGTTTTACTAGTATGACGGTGTGACTACTTCACTAGTATGACCGGTGACAGGTATACCCAGTTTGATAAAACTAGTCAAACTCGTCACACCCTTGAAGTGTGACTAGTGTGACGAGTATGACCACTATGGTAGAAACCAGTGTGACCAGTGTGACGGTGTGACGACTTCACTGGTATGACCATTGACGGGTGTACCTAGTTTAATATGACTAGTCAAACGTGTCACACCCTTCAAGTACGACCAGTGTGACGAGTATGACCATTACGATACTGATAGAGACAAAACTCTCATATGACTTGATTTCAAACCGAAAACCTAATTTTCCTTAACTGTAAAACTCGAATACTATAACTCATTCGACTAAGATCTTGTCTACCGTAAATATTTGTCCAAGTACACATATATCAAATTTAAAAAAAAACAATTAACTTTTTCGGTGATATATAATGAAAACGTTACTTGAAAATCTTCGCAAATAGAAGCCGAAAACGATGAAGACGAAGCCATTTTGAAGTGAAGAGAAAAAATCGCACAAGAAATCGCCAATAAAATTGGCTGGAGAATGTCCGTTAGAGAAAAATCGTGAAGAAGAGAGGAAGAAGAAGCTGAACAATTTTTTTAAACTTAATAATTTTTTATTTGACAACTACCCACTTTCTCTCCCTCTTTTGTCATCTTCCTTCAGATTATTACACGTGTAATTTTTTAGAAGGGTAGGATTGTCTTTTTAACGTTTTTCAATTTTTTTTTGAAACCCTAACTGTTCAAGGGTATGTCTTGAAGTTCATGTTACGTTTTAAAGGTATATTTGTAATATCCCCAAGAGACGGGGATACGTGGAACAAGCGCCTTCGCACTTGGCTTAAAGGTTAGTATTTTTCGCGACCGGTCTCTGGCTTCGATGAGCTTATTGCATATTATGTGTTTTAATTAGATCTGTCTTAAACATGATTTTAATTAATTTATTATTAATTAATTAATCTAATCTCAGGAAAGTTATAAAAATGATGATCAAGCCATGCATGTCGGCTCTGAAACATATCCAGCCATTGTTGAGCTTCCAAGGACACACAGGGATTACGATGATCGACGTCCCGTTTTTCCGGAGGAAAGACAAGGTCGTCTTCATCATGGGAGCCACCGGAACCGGAAAATCCCGCCTCGCCGTCGACCTGGCAGCGCGTTTTCCGGCGGAGATCGTAAACTCCGACAAGATCCAAGTCTACGAGGGCCTCGGCGTCGTCACTAACAAGGTCACGCCGGAGGAAAGCCGCGGCGTTCCCCACCACCTGCTCGGCACCGTCGACCCCAACACCGACTTCACGGCCGCAGACTTCGCGCGTGAGGCTACACGCGCCGTCGAGTCCATCGTCGAGAGGGACAGAGTCCCCATCATCGCGGGAGGGTCAAACTCGTACATCGAGGCCTTGGTCAACGGCTGCGCTGACTTTAGGCTTAGGTACCAATGTTGCTTCCTGTGGGTCGATGTCTCGAAACCGGTCTTGCACTCTTTCGTCTCCGAGCGTGTCGACAAGATGGTCGAGATGGGTCTCGTGGACGAGGTTCACCGGATCTTTGATCCATCGGCGGATTACTCCGTCGGAATCCGCCGCGCCATCGGAGTCTCGGAGCTCGACGAATTTCTCCGGTCGGAGTTTGACGAGTCATCCGGCGACGAGGAAAACAGAGCAAGGTTACTTCAGACAGCGATTGAAACGATCAAAGAGAACACGTGTTCGCTCGCTTGTCGGCAGTTGCAAAAGATCCAGAGGCTATACAAGCAGTGGAAGTGGAACATGCACAGGATCGACGCGACGGAGGTGTTTCTCCGGCGAGGAGAAAAAGCCGACGAGGCTTGGGAGACAGTTGTGGCTAGGCCGAGTTCCATCATCGTGGAGCAGTTCCTCGGTTACGGCACCGAAGATCATCGCCGTTTGAACAGCGCCGAGATTCTCTTACCGGAGATGACGGCCTTGTCGCCACTCCCTGCTGTCGCAGCCATTTCCCGGTGAAACAGACGCCAGAAACAGAGCAAGATTCGGAGCCGCCATATAAACTAAAGTATAAGGGATTGAATCTAGAGAGAGATAGGGACAGAGACACGAAAATGCCACGTGGCGAAATGGGTCGCCGTCGGGGAAAATTTTACATAATCTGCTTGCTATAGTGTGCCTATAGTTACCATACGGTATATAAATATTGATTGGAAGGAGACTGAAACTCACGCGCGGAGGAGGACCCAGGCAAGTTAGGATTCGGTGCTGACGAATGTAGGGTAATACGATGGGGTGGGGAATCTTTGCCGTCAGATTTTGTCAACGCGGGTATTGTGTGTACCCAAATGTGTGAAAAGTGGACCCCGCTTTTGACGAAAGATGTGTGGGTCCCGATTTTGTTACATAAATATGATGATGATTGTGCAATCACACGGCTAATGTGATACGATTAATTTCTTAATCATACCACTTAATTGCTCCGAGTTTAGTGAATCTAAAAATTAAAAAAAAAACGACAAAAATAAACCTCCCCTTTCAAACTTATATATATATATATATATATGTATATGTATATGATCAATACTATAATATCTCATACTTTCATATATATATATATATACACACACATATTAACGAGCTGAATTTGTTATAAATTCCAATATTTATCATCAATTTAATTTTTACGAAATAATATATATATATATATATATATATATATATGGACTATTTTTGTTTCTGGACAACAATGGGGATCGGTCGACTATAAATGGATGAATGACAAAAGTCTGGCAAGCTATAAGAAAAAAAGTTAATTGAAACTATTTTGAAGGTTGCAGTTTGCAATGTCAATATACAATGGAATATAATACAATATGTGACAAGTCATAAATATGCATGCTTATATACTGAATAAAGAAAACTACATAGCTTTTGGTCGTATGAACGAATGGTTGTGGCTAATTTACTTAATTACATTGAATGGACTGTTATAGTGCATACATAAGTTAATTAAGGACTTAAATACCAATTAAGACGATTCCAATTTATAAACAAATTGGGGCTTTATTGTCAGTTGATGCCCACTACCCACCGCCAAACATCGTCCTACCCTAAAATATAAACATTCTCTATTTTAAACATCTTTTTATTTTTGTTTATATTATCTACCAAAAACAAACCCACAAAAGTATGGTATTTTGATTATGGGTGGGTTTAATTATGTTTCAGTTTTTATAAATATTTTTGTTTTTTTATATTTGTTTTGGTTTCGATTTTACTTTTATTTCCTTCCATGTGTTCGTTAAAATGACATTTATTTTTAAAATATTTATTTTCTTTCAAATTTAGATTCATATTCGATTTGGTTCATTAAATTTTAATTTTAAAACATTGTACTCAATTGGTTTTGTTTGAGTATACTCGTATATTTAATATTACAACTAAACACTATATATCTATTTGTGTGTACATATTTCCATAAGCTAGAAGGGACAGCATGTATAGTTGTTCGTATGTATATATATATATATATATATATATATATGCATTTTTTAAACCCGTCCGTACCACAAAATGACAAAAACCATGCCCTAAAACAATTCCAATTGGGCGTGTTGAAGTGGTGGACTTTTGTAGGCTACGATCATTAGTTTCGAGCAATAACGTTACATGCACCTCGAACCACGGCTCACGAATCTGTGTTATGCAGAACTGAAACGCATCCAATACATTTTTTAATTTAAATATTTATTCCTCAATATGCGAATTAATTATTATTATTATTAGTATTAGTATTCTATAATGTCTTGTCCGAAAGAGCCATCTTATAATCTGATTTGACTTGACTCTTTTTCAGATTGATGGTCTGCATGTGTCCTTGGATGCACATGGAAATGATTTCTCAGGCTTAAATAATATGCGCCGTACTCATTAGAGGATTAAACAAATACGAAACATTTTGTATGCGTATACGATTATATATATATATATATATTATGGAGAGATGCATATACACATTTAACAAAAAATAGGATTATATAATGGAGAGATGCATACATGGCTTCGATTAGGGGTGACCAAAATATCCGAAAAATCCGAACCGATCCGTTATTCGATTCATATCCGAACCGAAAATTCGGATATCCGGAGTTTACGGATCGGATACGGATATTTCTTTAGAGATATTTGTCGGATACGGATCGGATACGGATATTAAAATTGAATTACCCGACATATCCGATCCGATCCGTATTTTGTAATAATATTATTAAATATAAGAATAATTTCATATGGAGATTTAAAATTCTTAATATTTACACGTTTTTAAGGGTGATTCAAAAAAATTTTTATATATATTGAGGTTTATAATTTTAATCTTTTGAATATGAAGATTTATTATGTTTAATGTTTTGAATTTTGAATTTTGAATATATTTGTATGTGATAAATTATAATTGTATTTGTATTTGAGTTGATTTGGAATGTTTAAATTATGAATTTTAAATTTGTGAATATCATTTATCTTAAATAGATTATATATTTTATTTACATTTGAATTTATTATTTAATTTAAATTTAAAATTTTATAATATTTTAGGTCGGATACGGATATCCGCAAATATCCGTGATTTTTACGAATATCCGAAATTGCAAATATCCGAAAATTACGGATCGGATACGGATAACAAAATCGAATATTTGTGCGGATCGGATACGGATACGGATATCTCAAAAATCCCGGATATCCGATCCGTGCCCACCCCTAGCTTCGATGCTTGTCGAATGTCGTTATTTAATTTAATTTTGTAACATGATTTTTGGAGTGGTAAGTTATTATAACCACCTTTTTTGTGTTACAAGTTGCTAATTTAAAATCTTATTCGGCATTGGTGGAGGGCATGAACGCGTATTACACTAATTATTGGAAAATGCCAAAGCCTTTTTAATTTACATGCATGGTCCACTGATACATTTTTTTTTTTGGTAAAGTTTGTGTCAGGGTGGTCCAATGATACATTTTAATTTTATTTGTAAGATAAAATAATCATGTATCAAGAATTATATGTTTAATTGAATTAATATTGTGTTACTGCATGGCTTATACGAAACGGATAACTGTCGTTCTTTTACTCAATAATTTGATGAATTCCAGTATAAAATTCAATTGTTTTACTATAACTCTTAATAAAATAAAAAATCTTAATAAAATAAAACATAAATCAAATAAAAATAAAATAATATATGAGCTTCACAGAAATGTAAATTATCTATATTCTCGTGTTTCACTGTTTATTTGAAAGAAATAAACTAACAATACGACATAGTATATTATGAACATCTTCCAAATTTATCGTATGAACTATGAAGTATCCTCTCACCCTGGGTTCAAACCCAAGCATGGGTAGGGACATTCACCTGGACTTTCCCGGTTATCTGAGAGATGTAGTCGGACCAAAAGTCCGGTGAACTTCCGGATTATAGAATAAAAAAATTATCATATGAACCTAATATCTGGTATTAGATATATCACATTAGCTTTTCAATTTTTCCATAGATTCTGTTATTTACTATGGGAGATAAGTTGATTGATTTCTTTCTTTCCTTTTTAATCTAATTTTTGTTATATAATTGTCTTTATATTATTTGTTTTATCCTTCTGGTAAGTAATTCTCTAAAAAAAAAAAGTAGAATAAGAATCGGAATTTTAATGTCTCTTTCGCTTTATGTTTTTTTTTTTAAATGTATGGTCGGTTAAATAAAGCTTTATTTTATAATTACAGTGTTATTCCCTTTGAAATTAAGAAACCAAACTGTTGATTCTCCAAAAAAAAAAAGTTACATTTATAATTAATATGTAGCTGCAGAAAGTTTGAAATTACATGATCCATATAAAGTATGTTTTTACAGAAAAAAATACGAATCATTTGTAAAAAAAGAAGTATAATATTCAAAAGTCATTTAAGTTGTATAGTTCACGAAAGAAATTATTCCAAATCATAGCGGAATAAGGCAGTGATTGTCAATTTGTATCGTACTCGTCATCCGTCAACAACAATAGGCCCATTTACGGCCCATTTCATAAATATATGGTTCTTAAGGTTATTGTGGGCTTTTGCTTTGGGCCAGAACAATAACGAAAGAAATTGTTGGCTGGTTTGTTTTTGTTCTTGTCAGCCTGGATAGCATTCCAATTTGCCATTTAAAAAAAAATATTTACGTAATTTTTCAACATAATTTTTGGTCCGATTATTTAATTCCATATATTTATAAACTGTTTGGGATATTCTGAAAGATATAAGAGATTGTTAGCGAGAAGAACTCAAACACAGCTTTCTAAATTTCCTACGCAAACGCCGGAGCTCTTGAAAGCACCATAGCTCTGCGTCTGGAGAGAGAGAGATGTCGTGCTTGGCGTCGTGCTGTGCGGCAGCGACGTGTGGGCTGTGCACGTCGGTTGCGTCGGGGATATCGAGGAAATCGGCGAGGCTCGCTTACTGCGGTCTCTTCGGTGCCTCCCTCGTCGTCTCCTGGATCCTTCGCGAATTCGCTGCTCCTCTCCTCAAAAAATTCCCTTGTACGTTTCTCCGGTCCAGAATTCCCAATCGGGTCTGCGGAAATCGTGTTCCTCTTAGTTTCGACGGATTGATAATTTCATCAAACTCTTCCTGTCGCAATCGGTTTCATGTCTTGAATTTCACTCCGTCTTGATTCGCGATAACGTTTCGATTGTGGAATTTTGTGTAATTAGGTTCTTGCTGTACGTTTATGTTTCTTGCCATCGATCTTGAATTTTTTTAGTTAGGGCTTGGAGCTGCCGAGTGAGATACGAGTCTCGCTTCTCCAAACGCTTTTCTTGCGGCAGAATTCCAATTGGGTCTTCAGAAATTTTGTTCCTTTCAGCTTGACAATCGTTATAGAACACTCGTATCATGATTTGTGCTATTTCTGTCGGATAGAATTCTCATTCTGTCGGTTTGCTTTCTGTTTGTGTTTCATTCAATCGTGTCTTGTTTGGGTTGGAGATTCAGATATTAAGAGAGTAGAATCATAGTTCACAGGCATGAATCTCTGTTAATTTGGTTGTCCTCCATTGGCAGGGATAAACACTTCTGATGCATATACCAAAGAATGGTATCAGCAACAAGCCGTTCTCCGTGTGAGCTTTGGGAATTTTCTGTTCTTTGCCTTGTTTGCGCTGATCATGATCGGTGTGAAGGACCAGAACGATAGGCGAGATTCATGGCACCATGGCGGATGGGTCGTGAAGATGATCGTCTGGTTCTTGCTTGTTACCCTCATGTTTTTCGTCCCAAACGTTATTGTTTCAATCTACGGTATGTCTGTCTGTTCCATCTGGTTGTGTTAATGTTTCTGTTTTCTCCCTGTTTTTTAAAGTTCTTTTCCTTTTTGCTGATTTTACGTATGACGTTGAATTGAGTGAGTGGAATAAAATCTTTTGCTAGGACATTGCCCCAAAAAACATAAGAATCTTCTTCAATCAATAGATACATTTGGGCACTAATCTGTGTTTTTCAAACATTTTCCAGGAACTTTATCAAAATTCGGTGCTGGAGCGTTTCTGTTGGTTCAAGTGATCTTGTTACTAGATGCTACACACAACTGGAACGATGCATGGGTCGAAAAAGATGAACGGAAATGGTCTGCCCATCTCCTTTCCTATAAGTCGTAATTGTGTGCGGTTTTTTTGGCCAAGTTTTTTGGATTTTATTTTGTTTTGATTTCAGCTTTGAGCTTTTAAAGTTTTCCAAAATCTGATCGGTGACATTTCTGAGTTTTGGTTTCTTCATGTAGGTATATTGCTCTGCTTGTTATATCCATCGCTTGTTACCTGGCTACATATGGCTTCTCAGCAATCTTGTTCATTTGGTTCAACCCTTCTGGTCATGACTGCGGCCTTAACGTTTTCTTCATTGTCATGGCAATGATCCTTTCTTTCGCCTTTGCTGTTATCGCTCTACATCCCGCAGTAAGTAGAATCTGTGTTTTGGCCCCCCAAAAACAAAGACATAAAAATGTCACACTGTTTTTAATATTTGTACGAAATCGTGACGGAGAATCTTTTGCAGGTTAATGGAAGCCTCTTGCCCGCATCAGTGATATCGGTGTATTGTGTGTATGTATGCTACACCGGCCTATCCAGCGAACCACGAGACTACGAGTGCAATGGACTTCACAACAAATCCAAAGCAGTAACCACCAGTACTCTCATCCTCGGAATGCTCACTACCGTTCTCTCCGTCATCTATTCAGCCGTTCGTGCTGGTTCTTCCACCACATTCCTCTCTCCGCCCTCTTCACCCCGAGCAGGTAGGTATTCCTCAATCTTAACTATGATCGTGATAGTAGAAGTCAGTTTTGAACTGTGATTAACGGTAATAACTGAACTTTGCAGCAGGGGCCACGCCATTGTTGGAAGACCCGGAGGACGGGAAGAAGAAGAGCAACGAAACTGAGCCTCGTCCGGTCAGTTACTCGTACTCTTTCTTCCACGTAATCTTTGCCCTAGCGAGCATGTACGCAGCCATGCTTCTCTCGGGCTGGACCGACTCATCAGAGAGCGCGTCTCTCATCGATGTCGGATGGACCTCGGTCTGGGTCAGGATCTGCACCGGGTGGGTCACTGCCGGCCTCTACATCTGGACCCTCGTTGCCCCTTTTGTTCTCCCCGACCGCGAGTTCTACTAGGGGCATTCCCGTCATTTCACGTTTTCCGGGGAGTTCCGCTCGGTGTTTAGTATCCCCACTGGCCGGATAGAAAAGGGTACGTCTATGGTTAGAGTCGTGTGATCGTGTTGTGTTGCTTTCTGCCTGTCTTTATCTCGAAAGGTTGATCTTTATATAGTGTTCTTAGAAAAACAAAGCCGATGAGCGTTCTTAGATAGTGCTATTAACGTTATATTGTATATGTATATATGTATATGTATGGATCATGTAGTTGATGTCAAGTTCTTTGTCTTGCTCTGTAACTGAACTTGAAGATAGATCTTTGGAATGGTGACATCCGGATAATGTCCATTTCGTGCTCGAATTAAGAAGTGCATGTGTTTTCTCAATTGTTTTTTTTTTGGTTCTGTATATTGAACTTCTATTGATATTTTGGACGATTCGAATCAGCGTCATCAATTGTAGTTGCCTTGACATTTTTGTCTGGATTTGGAAAGGGAAGAAAATTCAACTCTAACACGCTCCTCCATTTCTCATACATTATCAAATAAATTAAGACATATATATATATATATATATATGTATATATGTGTAATTTATATTTATTAGAACGGATGAAAAACTTAAATTTTTTGCAAGCTGCAGTGAAAAGTTAATTAGGAGTAAGATTTTATAAAAACAATAATGAAGAACTAATGGTAATTGACTATGAAGAGTTGGATAGGGTTACATATTTGGATTAGAGATTTGAGTTTCAGTTTGGAATCTATGTTTTTCTTGGAATACTATATTATTTTAAGTTTTATACTGAGTTTCTTTTTCATTTATTTTTAGATTTGATTAATTTGTTTTTAAATTTAATATTTAATTAAATTTTATAGACGAATTTGATTTTAAAATTTTAAATATTATTTGATTAGGTTTCCTACTATCTTTATATCTCAAGCAAGATATCAACCGTAGAATATATAACATGCACTTGTTATTATTGAAAAATATGAATAATGTATATCCTGAAATTATGAATGAAAAATGTCATGTGGCACTAATTATTAATTTTAAACTTAACTTTCTTTTAAAGATAATGAATTCGGATTTGTACGAAGATCCGAGTTACACACGTTTTTAACTTTTTATCAAATACAAAAAAAAAAATATTTGTATTTTTCAGTTTTATTTTTTCACAATATCTTCTTTTTTTTTAAAAAAAAAAGGAAATCCCGGCTCACTGTTTTTCAATTTTTCCATGGAAATGATATATTACCAAACCTATACATCGAGACGCATATATGCTACGGAGGCAATTGGCTCCTCCACCGCCGTCCTCCTCCTCCGCCTCATCCTAACATGCTCCATCTCCTCCTCTCCTCCTCCGCCGCCTCCGCCGCTACCACCATGGCCCCTTCCTCCTCCTCCGCGAGATCCGCGGGAAACCACCACCACAACCACCGCAGTTCCACCTCCCTCCTCCTCTGCAAGCACTCTCCCTTCGCGACCCTCGACGTCCTCATCCTCATCCTCGTTCTCTTCTCCGGCGCTTTTCTCCTCTCCTCCTACTTATCCTACCTCTTCCACTCACTCTCTCTCCTCTCCTCTCACTTCCCTTCCTTCTCCCTCTCTCTCTCCTCCCTCACCCCACTGATCTTCTCTGATCACGATAAAGCGGACGATCCCTCAGGAATCCCACCGGCTTCGTACATATTCGCCTTCGCCGTGTTCTTCGCGGCGTCGATTGCGTTCCTTGACCTCTGTTGCGGGCCCAGATCGAGGAAATGCCAGAACCCTAAGTGCAAGGGGTTAAAGAAGGCGATGGAGTTCGATTTGCAGCTACAAACGGAGGAATGTGTCAAATCGCGAGCGGCGAAAGAGATTGATCGCTTGCCGTGGAAAGGAGGCAGCGAGAGCAATTCCGATTACGAGTGTTTGAGGGCTGAGCTGCGGAAGATGGCTCCTCCCAATGGCCGTGCCGTGTTACTTTTTCGGTCCCGGTGCGGTTGTCCAGTCGCCAAGCTGGAGGGCTGGGGGCCTAAGCGAGGCCGGCGTCATAAAAAGTAAGTCAACCCTTCTCGTGTTTACGAATTCGTGGTTCAAATTTATTGCCTTTTGATTCATATGAACTGGAAATGCATTCGATTGTCTATGATCCTTAGCTTCGCCAGTTGTTTGTTTGTTTGTCTGGGTCTATTGCGAGCTTTGGATGAATTATGTTCGTTTGGATGACTTTGTTTGTTCTATTGTTCATAGCAACCTTTAGTACTAGTCTGTGTAATTGCCATTGGATTTTGGCAGTGGAATCTCGATTAGTATCGATTCTGCATTGGCAGGTTCAGGGCTCTGCATATATTGATCACATTCTGCTCTTTTTTCCCTTGCAAGATTGTGTTCAATGGTTCTTGATGGATGAGTCGATATGATGTGGTTGTTCTCTCAGCCGATCTAGGTTGGTGTTCTGCAATGAACATGATTGTCAAGCTTCTTTTTTATGTGGTGACATGACACCCATCCGGAAGCCTATATTGGCATCCAATTTCATTATAGTAAGCCTTTGAAAGGCATTGAATAGCTTCTGTCTAGTTGATTACCTTTCACTGGAAAGCCTTATTTTCATCGTGACAATTACTCCTCGGGTCTGTCTGTGCGATGCTCTTATCTCTTTTTTTGTGCTTCTGTATTCATTTTAGCCCCGAATGTCTCCAACTGATAAAGCATTAGATTTCAACATTTTTCTTTTCTGATTAGGATTAAGAAGATTGTTTTCCACGATTTGATGTCCATTTATTGACCATTAGGCTTCAAGCCCCAGGTTTTGCATTTTGTGTGTGTGTGTGTGTGTCTGCTAAATTGCCAATGATATCCAAATACATTTTCTCACCTTTTACTGTTTGATTTGTTCTCTTCGCATTGTTGTTGCTTGTGATTGCATTTCATGGACCAAAGGTCGACAAAATATGATGATGCACTCAAAAAAAAAAAAAAAAATCAGTATCTGGCTTTGATCAAATTCTTTTTGATTATGATCTAACCTTTGGGGCAAATCGTGTGTGAACCATGAAATTCGATCAAATTAGTGACATTACATTATTGATCTATTTGTTCTCTTCTGCATTTTCTGACACAGTGTATATCATATCCTTGCAGATCGCCGGGAAACTTGGCTCTGAAAGGAGGAGGAGACAATCGCTGATCTCCGGTGAAACTCTTCCTCCATCTATCATTACAGATATGACATTTCAGATATTCCATTGCAGTTCTTTTTCTGGGATACCTTCATTTAAGGATAAGGGAAAAAAAGTTTTGTAATTTTTCCATTTCCTGCCAGAGTTCATCCTGGAAATAGAAAATCTGAAATTATAGCTTTTTTTTTCCCCTCAGATATGTCGAACCATGTTTACACTCCTTGAAACACTTCCTCTGGAACCATGTACCATGAAAATTCTTAATGCGAAATAAAAATATATGAGATTTCTCCATGGATTTGTATGGGCTTCTGTAATTCAGCTTGGTTCTTCTTCTTCTTCAAGCTCTTAGCTTAGTTCTGTTTTGTTCTTATGATATTGTTTTTTATTATTACATGTTAACTGTACTTCCTACATAAGTGGAAACAGAGGCATTTAGTGAGCTTTGTCCGTGTGTCTGAATGCCATTTAAGATGACAACCAGTCTTTGATTCTACTTTGGCAGCTTCTGCCCATGGTCTCTCCTCCTCCTATGACCAGATCACTTGTTCTTCTTCTTCATCTTCGTTCTCGAATCTCTTCTCCTTCCCGCGCAAGATGGATCTCCACTTCGACTACGATGATGACTCTGGCCCACTTCGACTTCTCCGGCGAAAGCCCTGATCCCGAGCGCGCGCTCGTCACCGCTCTCGGACTCTGCTCCTCCGGCAATGACGTCCATGCCAGATAGAAAATCCATTGCTGTGTCTTGAAGTCCGGTCTCGACTCCAACGGCTTTATCTACAACAGCGTTCTCAACATGTACGCCAAATGCTGTCTCTTGACCGATGCAGAATCTGTGTTTAAGAGCCATGTGAGGATTGATTCTGCTTCTTTCAATATAATGGTTGATGGGTATGTGAGATCTCGTCGTCTGGATGATGCTCGCTGCCTGAGAGGCTCCGTCTCCTACACCGCCATGATAAAGGGTTACACTCAAAGCGAACGGTGGAGAGACGCAGCGGAGCTTTTCCAGGGAATGAGAAATGGGGATAATATTCCCCCGAATGAGGTGACATTAGCCGCTGTTATATCGGCTAGCTCGCATTTGGGTGGGATTTCTGATTGCAAAATGCTGCATTGTTTAACCATGAAGCTGAAGCTTGCCGATAGAGTGTTCGTCTCGACAAATTCGCTGCGTATGTATTGTGTTTGCTCGAGCTTGGAGGATGGTAGGCGGCTGTTTGATGAGATGCCCGGAAAGAACTTAGTTGCATGGAATGTGATGTTAAACGGGTACTCGAAAGCAGGGCTCATCGAGTAGGGACTTGTTCGATCAGATCACCGAGAAGGATATCGTCTCATGGGGTACAATGATCGATGGGTATCTCCGGAAGGAGCGATTGAACGAAGCCTTGGATCTGTACAGCGAGATGCTATCTCGTGGAATTAACCCTAGTGATGCTATGATGGTGGATTTCCTCTCGGCTTCTGCACGAGCCGAGGTGCATTTATGAGGGTTTACAACTTCATTGTACTATCATGAAGGCTGGATTCGATTGTCATGATCTTGTACAGACGACCATCATCCATTTTTACGCAGCTCGTGGTGACATAAACCTAGCTTTACAGCAGTTTGAAGCGAGCGTTAAGGATTACGTCACATTAAGAAATGCACTGATTGCAGGATTTGCGAAGAACGGGATGATCCAGGAGGCGACAGAAGTATCAATCAGATGCATGATAAGGAGATTTTCTCATGGAATGCCATGATTTCGGGGTATGCGCAGAGTGTTATGCCCGATTCCTCAAAATGATCGATGGCTCTGTAAAACCAGACGCCATCACGATGGTGAGTGTTTTCTATGCAGCTTCCGTTCTAGGAGATTTGGAAGTAGGGAAACGGGCCCACACGTATTTACGATGTAGTTCCATCCCTCTCAGCGACAATCTTATGGCGGCCATGGTTGACATGTATGCTAAATGCCGAAGCATTGACGCTGCCCTGACCATTTTCTACCAAACACGGGACAAAACATCGACAATCTCCCCTTGAACGCTATCATATGTGGTCTGGCAATTCATGGCCGAGCAAGCCTGGCTCTTGATCTCTACTCTGACCTTCAAACCTCGTCCCATCAGACCCAACGCCATAACTTTCGTCGGGGTTTAAAGCTGGTTTATGTAAATCATTTTTATTTTATTTTCTTTAACTTGTAATATCTAAAATATCGAAAATGTTACTTTACATAATGCAGCCAGTGCTTTATTAAGCCTCACCGCATTTACTATTTACTCATCAGACTTAAATCTGTGGTTTACAGTTTTGGGCCATTAGGTGGGCCTGATGTAGGGCCCATTAACCGAGTCAGATCGGTACCCGCCTTGCCGCCTTGGTATATCAAAGTATCTATCAAATATATTAAATTAAAAAAATATTAACCCTAGTTAATCTCTGTTAACGTTATCAGGAATAACGAAAGCAATATATAAGAGATGTTATTTATTATTTTATTTTAATGTTACAAGTTAATAGCGTGTCTTAGAACTTTCGAGATTTTCGAAGTATAAATATTAGAATGATTTGATTTGGTGGTTTGATTTACTTTGGTTTAGTTCGGTTAGGATTTACTAGGGTGTCTTCTTCTATTATATTTAAAGTTATTTGGACCAATTAACAACATAGGTTTCTTCTTTCTTCAACATCTCTTCTTCTTTCTCTTCATATTGTAAACCTCTATATTATTTTTCTCTATAAATATTTTTCATTTGAATGGCTGTTTTTTTTAATCAAAAGTTAATAATAAATAGTTATGTAAAAAATCTACATCCCGAAAAATGCAAAATATCTAAATTCTTCAACATTAGCAGGACACACTATTCGATTCTTTTCTTTTTCTTTTTTATAATAATACATGTAACTATTTGTGGAGAATAATCACACGCATCATATCTCACTTTTCTAATTGAATTGAAAACAAAAATTTTTGTAAAACATCAATCGTTATTTCAATCTGTAAAAGATCATATATATATATATATATATATATATATATTGTTTTGGTTCAATTAGTAAGACAACAAAAATTGAAATTTTAAAAATTAACATTATAAAAAAATATTACTTGAGAATTATTTTAAAATATAAAATCACAAAAGTAACATAAAAACTAACGCTAAATTAGAGCCTAGACACTAACAAAGGATAAAAACTTCTCAAACCACAAACAATATCCTATATTACAATTTTTTTAGTAAATAAGTCATTTCACTAGTTTTGTTTGTCTTGTATTCTACTAAAATCACCTATAATATTTTTTTCTATATAATGTTTAAAATTAACAGTGCACCATGACTTGGTTAAGAAAATTACCTAACATTGGGAAAATAGTTTAGACAACTAGTTTGTTGTTTTCAATAAGTTAACTGTTACATGAATACCCACAAACATATGACGATTTAATATGGAAAGAATAGAAAGAGCTTAATAGTAATCAATTTAAAACGAGATACATTGTGTTATGAAAATGGAAACAAAGATGATAACAAAAACAACACGTTCAAATGTTCAGTCAAGAAACTCAAAATAAATATTTACGAGAGGAGAAAAAAAAAGATATTTTACACTAACGCAGCCCTAAGCCCTAATCAGATGTGTTTTTTCTAATAATATATATGAACTAAAAGTTAATTTAACAAAAAAATAAGAAGATTGTCATCTTTTGAGAAATTCACATAATATGCATCTCTTTCTATTAAAAAGATTGTGTCATGTGGTTTATTCATGTTAGTCTTTGGTATATATTCTACGAGTATAAGTTTGGTACAAAGGAAAGTTTTTGATAATACGTTTCAGGTCTATTCTCCTTACTATGATAATACATTACGTTATCTAATTTTAGGAGGAGGTTTTTTTAGGAAAAAAGAAGTTTTTGATATTTATGTGTGTGTTTTTCTCTTTTTTCTTGCATGGTTAGTATTGATTACTGTAAAATTACTTAACATAGAAGATGATTATGGTATTTTTGATGGCATATTATGTACATTGACTTGAGAATGAGGCGATGTTGTTGTTGTTGTATACTATGACATTGATTGTTCACTGGATTGGTAGTTTGGAATTTTTGGTGGCCTTTCAGGGTTTTTATTGAAACTATAAACATTGTTGCATTTACTGTTTTAATACAACAACAACAACTACAACAACAACGTCTCATTCCCAACTTCACATTTACTGTTTTAATATCTGGTAAAAATGCGTTTTTGCTTCCATTTTGGATTGAGGATAGATCATCTCGTTATCAACCAGTTTCTCCTCCATTAGAGGGAGGAGAAATACAAATATAATATATTAGATAGTTAAAATCGCATCTAATTTATTTGTTTTATTGGGTTATGATATCCTAAAATAGAAACTCAACTTTTAGTTTGAGTTTTATTGGCCTTTATTCATACTTGATCTTCGTATTTCTGGGCATTGTTGGATGATTCGTAGCTAATATGTACAAAAAGGTCAGTTGTCTTGTTATCCATCTCTCAAATTTTATCTAGCTATGTTCCAATTTGTACAATAGCCTGATTTATGATTAGTGGATAGCCAACTTGCACCTCTTTAATGGAAATGGAAAATTTCTATTTTGAAATTTTAAATTTCTGTTAAGATGTTGAATTTCAAGTAAGATTGTTGAGTTTAACATGTTCTTCCTATTAGCTTCTCCGAGAACTCAAGTATACACATCCATCTTGTTTATTGAGTTTTTTATAGCGTATTGTTCATTTTGAATCGTTTTTTGATTGCATGTCTATAATGTGAATATAAATAGTTGTGTTTGCTAGGGATTGGGGTTATTCTGTGATTTTGTGGAAAGATTGTACTGGGATGTGATCTGAGACTCACAATAATCAATGCTAGGATTGTATTGGGATCCGAATTGTTCTTGATTTTTTATATTTACTTGGTCTTTAATTATTCTCATTTTTTGTGCATGTGTAGTAATGTTTTTTTTTGTGAAATTAGTTAATATTATAGATGATTTTGAAAATTTTGATGACATAGTATGCATGGTAATGACATTATCAGTACATTGGATTATTAGTTTGAATTTGATTTCGCCTTTATAGATTTTTGTGAAATTATAAACTTTGTTGCATTTACTTGTTGTATATTTTGTAAAAAAAAAATGCATATATGGCTTCAATTTTTATTGAGGATAGATATAACACTCGGTGTTGGATTGGTAGTTTGAATTTGATTTCGCCTTTATAGACGTTTTATGAAATCATAAACTTTGTTGCATTTGCTTGTTGTATATTTTGTATAAAAAAAGCATATTTGATTTCACTTTTTATTGAGGATAGATATAACACTCAGTATTAGTCAATTCTTCGAGATATAGAAATGCAAAATATTAGAGATTTTTAATGTCACATCGAATTTATTTTTTCATGGGTTATCGTTTTATTCAACTTTATGATATCTTAAAACAGAAGACAAACTTAGTCTTTAAGTATAACCAGTTGTGTTTGTTGTGGATTGGAGTTATTGAACGATTTTGTGGGAAGATTGTAAAGGGATATGGGCTGGGAACTCACAATAATCAAACACATCCGAATTGTTCTTGATTTTTTATATTCATGTGGTCTTTTATTCTCATTTCTCGTGCATGTTTAGTAATGTTGACTTAAAATTAGTTAATATTGTAGATGATTTTGGAATTTTTGATGGCATAGTATGTATAATAATGACATTAATATTGTATTGGATTGATAGTTTGAATTTGATTTCGCCTTTAAGAATTTTTTTATGAAATTGTAAATTTTTTTGCATTTATTTGTTGTATATTTTGTAGAAATGCATATTTAGTATTTATAATAATGACATTAATAGAACATATGTTCTTCCTCTATCATTTTATCCGAGAACTCAAGTATACAAATGCATCTTATTTATTGGTTTTTATAGCGTATTGTTCATTTTGAGTCAGTTTTGGATTGTACGTCTCTAAGTGAATATAAACAATCGTGCTTGTTGGAGATTGAGGTTATTTTGCGATTTTGGGGAAAGATTGTATTGAGATTTGGGTTGGGATCAAACTCATCAACTTGCATGTGGTATTTTATTCTCATTCATTGAATTATAGTTTGAATTTGATTTCGCCTTTAAAGATTTTTTTGTGAAATTGTAAATTTTGCTGTATTTATTTGTTGTATATTTTGTAAAAATGAAGATTTGGTTCCACTTTTGATTGAGGATAGATCTAACACTTGGTATTAGTCATTACTCGAAAAATTGTAATGCAAGAGATTTGAGATTTTTAATGTCATCTCGGATTTATTTTTTCATGGGCTACCGTTTTATCGGGCTTTATTGTATATTAAAACAAAAGCCCAACTTAGTCTTTAAATAACCGCATATATTTCGATTTGGATCGAGAATCTAAAAATAGCATATCAGAGAAAACATTATCATTTTAGTTTCTGTGTTTGGAAATGTTGTTGTTTTTTCCTTTTTTGCTCAATCCAAATACCAAACAGATGCTGATAATTCGACGAAAGGATTCCTACACAGCTTCTCTGAGGACTCCGGTATAGATACATGTTACTGGTTAGATAGTATGTTTTGGGATTGAGGTTATTCTGCGATTTTGGGAAAAGATTATATAGGGATATGAGTTGGGGACTCAAGAATAATTAAACTCGTCCGATTTGTTACTGTTTTTCATATCAATAAAGATACCGAGTGGTTTTTGGCACGAGATTCAAGAAATTTGGCGGAGGATCTTAGCCAAAACTTGACAATATTAGTTTGCCGTTTTGGGCCACTTGGTGGGCCTAGATTAGGGCCCATTGACAGACCTGGGTGGACATGGGCCCTATAGTGAGCTGTTCACCCTCGAACGCGCGTGGTCTCCCTTTTCTATTTCTAATTATAGAATACATGGAAATACATGTCTTTTTTTATAAAAAAATGATTACTTCTTTTTATATTTTACTTTTTCTGGAGGGTCTTTTTTTTATATGTAATTATAGCTATTAGTTTTTTTTTTTCAATTTGAAGGAACTATTTACTGTTATTACCGTATTTTCATTTACACGCCGATTATTGTCGTCACCTCTTGTTATATAGAACAAAAAGATAATCATTAGAACAAAAAAAAACTTTACTATATTATATTGTTTCCTTGTAGAATAAATGATGTGTTGCACATGGACCGACCCGAACTTTCTTGGAACTTTGAATTCTTTTTTTAACGATGCCCATTATTTCATAACGACTATAAATAATCATCATTAGCTGAAAAAAATAAAAGAACCGAATCGTGGTATGAAATAATTATCGGTTATTTGATGAGAATAACATATGTGTCACAACTCGATATATTTAATATCGATTTTGATGTAATCCGCCCGCTTGAATCGTCCAAAATGAACACACACGGTTTAAGAGTTCCGGAGTGTTGTGAATGCTCGGTTCATTTCGGCTGGATCGGGCAATCTGATGGGGCAGAGCCGGGGAATTAGGGGAACCAGAGGAAATGATCGAGACGATGGCCGTGACGGCGGACGAGGTGATACGGGAAACGCTGGTGAGGGCTGTCCAGATCAACGGGAATGTGAACGTGACCGAGAGGGCGGCTGCAGAGGTCGAGGTCATTGATCCTTCACATGGAGGTTGTAGGGTTCTTATGCAAACGTGGGGCGGTGGGAAGACGTTGCTTCGGTTAGAAAAGAGATGGTCACCAGAAGAAATGTCCAGAGGTTAACTGCGTTTAGCGGCGTTTTGTGAACGCGGAAAAATGAAACGCTTGAAATTTTGGAACTTTAATTTCGTAGATTTTCAAATTGAATCAATCGTCGTTTTGAGGAAACTCAAAACGATTTTTTATTTTTTTTAGATTATTATAACCTCTTTGGTTTATGATTTCTCATGACAGAGACCATAGAACTTGGAGATATGTATTCTATCATTTTATTTTTTTAGAAAATTATCCAACAGAGAAGAATAGTTTAGAGTTAGACAAATAATTTTTTTTTGTCTCAATTAGTTAACTCATATACTTATATAGTATACCCACAGATGACGGCTTAATAATTTTTTTTGTATATTTTCAACAAATATAAACTGTGAACCTTTTAAAAAGAAATTTTAATATTTGAAGTTGATGCAAGTTAATTATTCATAAGGAATATAAGTTCGAATATAAAATTTATAAAAAAAGTATATTTATTAGATTTTTAAATCTATTTTTTGTTCATGTGTTCAAATTATTTTTAAATCCTATTTAATCCAATAAATTTATTTAAAAAAAATTATAAATCCATTTTATATACAATTTAATTTGAATATATTATTAAAATTCCATTTTGCAAAACCAGTTGAAAATTTCATTCCCAACACTATATGGTCAAAGGACCATCATTTATTATTATCATGAAGTAGAATTTAATGTCTTACATAAGCCACAGGGTATTTCGGAATAATAAACAATTGATTTCATTAATTGATATAAAAATTAATTTTCTGAAAATGATTTTTTTTTTTGTGATGTGAAAAACAGTCCGACGTCTCTCATCCACCAGTAATAAAGAATAAACGGTGATTTGTTACCGCATTATCCTTTAAACTCTTCACACCCGCAATCAAATTGGGGGTAATTTGGTCTTTTCGTATAGGATAATTAGCAGTCGTTCTATCATTCGCTTCCCCTTCCCTTGTTTCTCCTTTGCTGTGAGAGATCCAAAAAGAAAATCGTAAGCATTAGCATTTTGGTTTCTGTGTTCAGAAACATTAGCTTTTTCCAATAACTCTCTAGAGAGACCAAGCAGTTATTGATCATCTGAAGAAGGAAAAAGATCGATCTTTTTTTCCTATGGGAATAGAAAAAAAAAATCCATTCAAAGATACCCATCAAGGGTTTTTCTCAGATTCGCCCCTCTTCTGATCCCTGGTTTCAGCTAAAAATAATCTCAGTTAGGTCCTTACGGGTTCAAGAGCAACCCGAGTTGTTTCAATCCCCGTAATGTCCAGTTCCCTGGATTTTGGAGCAAGGGATTTCGAAAAGCTCTGGTTTTGATTCCCGCATTGCTCTGCTTGCTTGATCTCGTTTGCTTGGAGTCTCTGATTTTGCCTCATACTCATCTCGGTTTCTCGCTTCAACACTTTTGGATGCTCTGTACCTGAAGATGCAGCCTGATCAGCGCAAAAAGGTCGGTTACCTTGTTGCCCACCCGCAATTGAGTTTTCTCTTTTGAGATTTCCAAATTTCTGTTAAGGTTGTCGCTGGTGTGTGGCTCTTTACGCTCGATTGATTTGTTTTAGTTTTTCCTTCAGCCATTCTGATTTAGCAAAGATTAAGGCCAATACAATGTTATACCAAGGCTTGTAGTCATTCGTTCGTCGTTTAGCTTTCTGATGTTTGATGGAAGACTGGTCGAGTTATGTTCTACAGCTGCATTTTGGTAAACTCACGTTATAATATGTGCATCACATGCATTCTTTTTCTTGGTTGAATTTGTTCACTTTAGGCATTTTGAATTCAATTTTCGGCCAAACTGCACTTTTTCCAGAAAAAAAAGTTCTGAATGGATGTTGTGTTTTACCTGCAAGTTAATGTTTAATTGGGGATCGGTTGAATTACATTTCGGAATTGTTTGGCTTTTCTCAAACTGACATCACTTCATCTTCATTTATGTGCAGTCATCAGTTGATGTAGATTTCTTCACAGAGTATGGTGAGGGAAGTAGGTACAGAATAGAGGAAGTGATAGGTAAAGGAAGCTATGGTGTTGTCTGCTCTGCCTATGATACACACACCGCAGAGAAAGTGGCGATCAAGAAAATCAACGACATATTTGAGCATGTCTCTGATGCAACCCGCATTCTTCGTGAGATCAAACTTCTCAGACTCCTCCGCCATCCCGACATTGTAGAGATCAAACACATCTTGTTGCCGCCTTCAAGACGGGAGTTTAAAGACATTTATGTGGTTTTTGAGCTCATGGAGTCAGATTTGCATCAGGTTATTAAGGCAAACGATGATTTGACCCCTGAACATTACCAGTTTTTTCTCTATCAACTTCTCCGAGGACTCAAGTATATACACACAGGTTAGTGGTTAAAGTTATGGTTATCCTGAAGTTGAATTTCATGTAGCTTTTTCAGATCTTCATATGTGTTCATGTGCAGATCATTTTAACTTTTTTGTGAAAATGCTTTTCTTTTACGGTATTTTATTCAGCAAATGTCTTCCACCGGGATATGAAACCCAAAAACATATTGGCTAATGCCGACTGCAAACTCAAGATCTGTGATTTTGGGCTCGCAAGAGTCGCTTTCAGCGATACCCCAACCGCGATATTTTGGACAGTGAGTTTCTTCAATTCTGCTCTTACGCTGTATGAACAATTCCCCACTCCTTGCACGGTTCCTGGATAGGTTTCCTCTTTCTTTCTTTCTTCCCTCTTTCAGTTGTCAAGATCCAACATTTTCTATTGCTTTGTGACTGCAGGATTATGTAGCAACTCGATGGTACCGGGCTCCGGAACTGTGTGGATCATTTTTCTCAAAGGTATTCATGATTTTGTTTACATTGCCCGGCTGTTCAGTTTTAATTATTGCTTTTTGTTCATTTTTCAGTATACTCCGGCGATAGATATATGGAGCATTGGGTGCATATTTGCAGAACTCTTGACAGGAAAGCCTCTTTTCCCCGGTAAAAACGTGGTTCATCAGTTGGATCTGATGACTGAACTGTTAGGAACGCCATCTGTAGAAGCCATTGCAAGGGTCAGCGATTTTGCATAATATTGTTTTCCTTTTCTTTTGGCTTCGTTTAACACAAACTACTGCGTTCTTTTTTAAGAAAAATGTTTTTTCTTCTGATATACTTGCATTGGATGTGATAGGTACGCAATGAGAAAGCTCGTCGATACTTGAGCAGCATGAGGAAGAAGAAACCTGTTCCTTTTTCCCATAAATTCCCGAATGCTGATCCCCTCGCTCTTCGTCTTCTTGAAAGAATGTTGGCATTTGAACCCAAGGACCGACCCACAGCGGAGGAGGTGCTTTAAGCATTTGTTCACTATTCTACTCAACATATAAAATTTTTGGTTCTTTGTTAAAATACTTGCTTTTTTGGCAGGCGCTTGCAGATCCGTACTTCAAGGGTTTGGCCAAAGTCGAAAGAGAGCCGTCTGCTCAACCTGTCACAAAGATGGAATTTGAGTTTGAGAGGCGGAGAATCACAAAGGAAGACGTGCGAGAGCTTATATACAGAGAAATTCTTGAGTACCATCCCAAGATGCTGAAAGAACACTTGGAAGGGTCAGAACCAACTGGCTTTATGTACCCGAGGTACTATCCTTAACGCTCATACTATATATATATATATATGCGGCCCGTTATGGCTTAAGCATCTGTGTATCATCTGCAGTGCCGTAGATCATTTCAAGAAACAGTTTGCTTTCCTTGAGGAGCACTACAAGAATGGAACTTGCGGTGCTCCACCCGAGAGGCAGCACGCTTCGTTACCTAGGTATTATTGTACATTATCATTAACTTTTGGAGACTGCTATCGAGTTGTTGAGATTTTATCTCGAGTTTTTGATGAATGCAGGGCATCTGTTTTGTACTCTGATAAGAGTCAGAATTCCACCCAAGTAACTGACAGCATTTCCAAATGCAGTATCAGAGAAATTGAGAGGAATAATACTGCGACGAGGATTCCTATTCAAGGTGGTGCGTTGTTAGATCAAAAAAATGATAAAAATCCAAGCTTTAGTATATTAACGGAACCCGTGCTTGTCGATAATGCAGCAGCGAAGCCTGGGAAAGCGGTTGGATCATCAGTATTATTACGCTACAACAAGTGTGGTGCTGCAGCCACTGGCTCTGAAGCTATGGAGCAGCAGAGGCGGTCCTCTGTCAGAAACCACCCGCCGGCTCAGTACGCCACTTGGAAAAAATGAATGCTTCAGTGTATGGCAACCTGCTCTTAAAGTTTGTTCCTTTCTCCATGTCTTATATCGATCCTTACTAGTTAATACCTTAGAATATTTATGGCCTGATCATCGCTTTCGTTTCGTTTTCTCGTTATATCAGAGCTACTTTCTGGGCCGCGAATATTAAGCTTCATCATATTGGGCCATTACGTGGGCCTGATGTAGGGCCCATTAGCCGAATCATATGGGAGCTGTTTCACCCTCCAGAGGGCGTGGACTTTGCCTTAACGCTTCCCTCGCGTGGAAGTTACTTCATCTAATTATAGCTATTAGTATCTTTTTTCAATTTGAAGGATCTATATTATCGTATTTGTATTTTTATTTACACGCATCATTGTGTCGTTACCTTTTGTTATATAGAAAACAAATGATAATCATTAGAACAAAAAACGATATTATATTATTGAAAAATGATGTGACGCACATGGACCGACCCGAACTTTCTTGAAACTTTGATTTGTTTTTTAGATTACCCATTGTTTTATTGTAACTATAAATAATCATCATTAGCTAAAACAAATAAATGAAAGAGCCGAATTGTGGTATGGAATAATGATCGGTCATTTGAAGAGAATAAACATATCCATGTGTTACAACCCGATATTTTTAATATTGATTTCTTATTTTACACCTTTTTTAATTTTTTTTGTCATCTTTCATGGAATTTGGTAAAATTACCTTGTGATATTTTGAAGTCGGTAGTTTTATGTAATTGCGAGATATCTGTCACCATATTGGACGATACGAATAGCACCTCCTTGCATGTGGATTAGAAAGAAAGTTTGAATATCATATATTCTTCTTTCTTGTAGTAGTTTTGGTGATGATTGCAATGAAATCATAGAAAATTTTCGGTTCTTTAATGATATAATATGTATCGTATTATTTGTAATGACACATGGAATCAATTCCATGAAAATAAATATATACTAAAAAGGTGATCTTCAAGTTGTAATCTTCCACTCTTCATGTAATATAACAAAAAAAATCTAAAACAATTATAAAACGAAAGAATATAGATTTTTTTTATAAAAAGTAAAATCGATTATAGAATTGTGTTCTTATGTAAAATGATATTGAGTAAAGCAACCTATACAAATATACGAAAATTATATATATATTTTCACCATTAAATATCATGTTTATTTTGATTTTATACGAAATTAAAATACCAATAAATTCTTCTATTTCAAATTTTAATTTTTACCATTTTTGTAGTAGTTTTATCCGTTTAAAAAATTCTTCCAATTACTCATACAATCGCTCACACCACAAACGTTTCAGAGTATAGAACACCAATAGAAGAACAAATAGAAGTGATATAAATTACTTGTATATTCTCTTTATTATGAGGCATTGCTTAAATAAAAAAAATTCATTCTCTCTTTATATAAACATTATGTGTATTATTCTATCTATATGGTTCAATGTAATATGAAATTAAAGGAGTTTATATATGACCTAATTCGATATAATATCAAATAAAAACAATGAAGAGTTTTTAATTTAAACGGGGGATTGAAATAAAATTAGAAACAACACTTTATATTTAAACGAATCCAAGTAAACAAAAAAATATTGGTTATAAATTGAGTTGGTTAGTATTTGGTTTGATTGCAAATATTATTTCATCTTCTTAATCTCGTTACTCTATATGAATTGATATTATTTTTTGCAATTATATACCAAAATTGTGTATGTATAAGGGGATTGCGACATTTACTATTGTTTAAGTGTCTTTTATATTTGTTTCTTTTCTTTTATATATGATGCAAGTTAACATACTAAGGAAATTGTAGTTTAGTATAGCTATCCGATCAATATTTGTTATTCTTATGATTTAGATATTGATATGAGGCGGAGATTGTTTTGGACTATATAGAGGGAAAGCTCGAATACCATGTATTTTTTTCCTTTTTTTTATGCGTTGCGCTATTAATGATGGTTACCGTTCTCAAACTTTTCCTAATATGGCCAATTTCTTGGTATTTCTTAATAAAAATGTGTAGGTTTTTTAGCAAAAAACTGTTCTTATCCATTCTTTGGATTGTGGATTGTTTTGTTTGTGTCATTGCTTTGCAAGATTGCCCATTTTTTGAAAAATTCACACAAACTGTTTCCATTAAATGGATTACCTCATTTGGTTTGTTCACATTAGTTTTCGACATCTTTTCTACTGCTGTAATTTCTTTATACAAGAAAGTAGAAGAAAAAGTTTTTGTCAAAATAGCTTTTCAATTTCACAGAAGATTTCTGTTTATTTGACGATATAATATGTATCTTATTAACAATAGTGTCACATGGTATAACATCATTCGAAATAAATGAAACCTTATAAAATGTTTTCCAAATTTTAGTCTTTCTCTCATTTATGTTAGGTTTTTATGTGTATTATTCTATCTATATGGTTCAATGTGATATGAAATTAAATGAGTTTATATGTGACCTAATTCGATATAATATCAAATAAAAACAATGAAGGGTTTTTAATTTAAATTGGGGATTGAAATAAAATTAGAAACAACACTTTATATTTAAACAAATCCAAGTAAACACAAAAAAATTTGTTATAAATTGATTTGGTTAGTATTTGGTTTGATTGCAAATATTATTTCATCTTTTTAATCTCGTTACTCTATATGAATTGATGTTATTTTTTGCAATTATGTACCAAAATTGTGTATGTATAAGGGGATTGCGACATTTACTATTGTTTAAGTGTCTTTTATATTTGTTTCTTTTCTTTTATATATGATGCAAGTTAACATACTGAGGAAATTGTAGTTTAGTATAGCTATCCGATCAATATTTGTTATTCTTATGATTTAGATATTGATATGAGACGGAGATTGTTTTGGACTATATAGAGGGGAAGTTCGAATACCATGTATTTTTTCCCTTTTTTTATGCGTTGCGCTATTAATGATGGTTACCGTTCTCAAACTTTTCCTAATATGACCAATTTCTTGGTATTTCTTAATAAAATGTGTAGGTTTTTTAGCAAAAAACTATTCCTATCCATTCTTTGGATTGTGAATTATTTTGTTTGTGTCATTGCTTTGCAAGATTGCCCATTTTTTGAAAAATTCACACAAACTGTTTCCATTAAATAGATTGCCTCATTTAATTTGTTCACATTAGTTTTCGACATCTTTTCTACTGCTGTAATTTCTTTACGAAAGAAAGTAGAGGAAAAAGTTTTTGTCAAAATAGCTTTTCAATTTCACAGAAGATTTCTGTTTATTTGACGATATAATATGTATCTTATTAACAATAGTGTCACATGGTATAACATCATTCGAAATAAATGAAATCTTATAAAATATTTTCCAAATTTTAGTCTTTCTCCCATTTATGTTAGGTTTTTATGTGTATTATTCTATCTATATTGTTCAATGTGATATGAAATTAAATGAGTTTATATATGACCTAATTCGATATATTATCCAATAAAAACAATGAAGGGTTTTTAATTTAAACTGAGGATTGAAATAAAATTAGAAACAACACTTTATATTTAAACGAATCCAAGTAAACACAAAAAAATTTGTTATAAATTGAGTTGGTTAGTATTTGGTTTGATTGCAAATATTATTTCATCTTCTTAATCTCGTTACTCTATATGAATTGATGTTATTTTTTGCAATTATGTACCAAAATTGTGTATGCATAAGGGGATTGTGACATTTACTATTGTTTAAGTGTCTTTTATATTTGTTTCTTTTCTTTTATATATGATGCAAGTTAACATACTGAGGAAATTGTAGTTTAGTATAGCTATCAGATCAATATTTCTTATTCTTATGATTTAGATATTGATATGAGGCGGAGATTGTTTTGGACTATATAGAGGGAAAGCTTCGAATACCATGTATTTTTTCCCTTTTTTTATGCGTTGCGCTATTAATGATGGTTACCGTTTTTCAAAATTTTCCTAATATGGCCAATTTCTTAGTATTTTTTAATAAAATGTGTAGGTTTTTTAGCAAAAAACTGGTCTTATCTATTCTTTGGATTGTGGATTATTTTGTTTGTATCATTGCTTTGCAAGATTGCCCATTTTTTGAAAAATTCACACAAACTGTTTTCATTAAATAGATTGTCTCATTTGGTTTGTTCACATTAGTTTTCGATATCTTTTCTACTGCTGTAATTTCTTTACAAAAGAAAGTAGAGAATTTTTTTTTTGTCAAAATAGCTTTTCAATTTCATAGAAGATTTCTGTTTATTTGACGATATAATATGTATCTTATTAACAATAGTGTCACATGGTATAACATCATTCGAAATAAATGAAATTTTATAAAATGTTTTCCAAATTTTAGTCTTTCTCTCATTTATGTTAGGTTTTTATGTGTATTATTCTATCTATATGGTTCAATGTGATATGAAATTAAAAGAGTTTATATATGACCTAATTCGATATAATATCAAATAAAAACAATGAAGAGTTTTTAATTTAAACGGGGGATTGAAATAAAATTAGAAACAACACTTTATATTTAAACGAATCCAAGTAAACAAAAAAATATTGGTTATAAATTGAGTTGGTTAGTATTTGGTTTGATTGCAAATATTATTTCATCTTCTTAATCTCGTTACTCTATATGAATTGATATTATTTTTTGCAATTATATACCAAAATTGTGTATGTATAAGGGGATTGCGACATTTACTATTGTTTAAGTGTCTTTTATATATGTTTCTTTTCTTTTATATATGATGCAAGTTAACATACTGAGGAAATTGTAGTTTAGTATAGCTATCCGATCAATATTTGTTATTCTTATGATTTAGATATTGATATGAGGCGGAGATTGTTTTGGACTATATAGAGGGGAAGCTCGAATACCATGTATTTTTTCCCTTTTTTTATGCGTTGCGCTATTAATGATGGTTACCGTTCTCAAACTTTTCCTAATATGGCCAATTTCTTGGTATTTCTTAATAAAATGTGTAGGTTTTTTAGCAAAAAACTATTCTTATCCATTCTTTGGATTGTGGATTATTTTGTTTGTGTCATTGCTTTGCAAGATTGCCCATTTTTTGAAAAATTCACACAAACTGTTTCCATTAAACGGATTGCCTCATTTGGTTTGTTCATATTAGTTTTCGACATCTTTTCTACTGCTGTAATTTCTTTACACAAGAAAGTAGAAGAAAAAGTTTTTGTCAAAATAGCTTTTCAATTTCATAGAAGATTTCTGTTTATTTGACGATATAATATGTATCTTATTAACAATAGTGTCACATGGTATAACATCATTCGAAATAAATGAAACCTTATAAAATGTTTTCCAAATTTTAGT